TTGGGTCTGGGTGGGGCCGCCCTGTGCCCACCGCTCACCCTGATCTGAGAGGGCTGCAGGTGAGCAGTGCAGGCGGCCAGGTGCTTCAGGGTTCCGTGGTCTGCCAGAGCGCAGGCAGGCCAGAACTCCCCCTCATTAGGGACCACTTAACTAGGCCAGAGAGAGGGCAGTGTCGATTTAGTGACACAGATGGGAGCAGGGGGTGGGGAGAGGGGGCGGTGAAAAACTGGATGAAATCCTAATAAGTCCATTTCCTAACCTGTCAGGAAGTCAGCCTTGGGAACCCAGGGAAGGCCCTCAGAAGTGCCCCCTGCTCCCAAGAATGCCTGGGGCCGAGGATGGAGGGAGCTTTGGCTAGAGGGGCTGTGAGGCCACAAGTACTTCCAAGTGGAGCCACTCCAGGAGGCTGCAGAAGTCAGGGAAACTAAGATTGAAATGTTTTCCTAAGTTTCCTGGCCACACACACTACGCAAACCAGGTCACCTCCCTTGCTCTTTGCTGTCATTGCAGTTTGCATCTCTGTGTACGTTCATGGTATGATTACGGGACTGATGAAACTCGGTTCCTGGGGGCAGGGGTGGGGTCAGTGGTGAGGCACCTAAACCAGGGAGCAGCATGGAGTAGGTGTTTAGGAAACCTGTTGATGGGCCTCAGTACTGACCCTTGGAGAGGCTGGCTGACCTCAGGTGCTGTGACTGTTGTTTAAAAGGCTTCTAGGACCATGAGAGAAGCCATGTGGGTTTTGGTCCTTTTCACATCAAGCCACCACTTGGTGCCCATGTGGCCTGGCTGATTTACATGAATGCCAGCACATGCTGGTGACTTCAATTCCCTTGCCCCAGTGGCTGCCCAGCCGATGTGATTTGTCTCTCTAAAGCTTTCATCCCAATTCCCTCACTTCATCCGCCACTCATCTCCCCATTTTCACTGTCCAGCCCTCTTCAGAGGGGGATTACTGGGTGCACCTTGTGCTACTAATGTTGGGGACGGAGAGCACATCTGTTATAGCCAATACCCACCCCTTGCAGCAGTGGTCTGGGATCTGGAGCGGACAAGAGATAGGACACTCAGGGACGGTCTGGGCAGTGCATGCTCTATCTACGCCACTGGCTAAGGACTCAGAGTCTACAGAGGGATCACTGGCTGGTCTTATGCACATGTTGGCCTGGCTCTGTAGATGACCCTGTATCGTCCAGATACATCTGGATTTGTCATTTCACCCACACTAAGCTGGTTAGTGACAATAACCCTAAAATAAACTGAAGTGTTGTTTAGATGGGCTAATGGATATAGGGTGGCCCAACATGAGACAAATGTCCTTTGGCAGACTGGGCAGTGACTCTCTGAGCTGGAGGGCCAATGGGTTATTCCAGAGTGCCAGGAAGTAGCGATAGAAGTGTCCTAGCCCCTGAACTGGAAGGACTGTCTGATGGCAGGTGGGGTGAGAGTGGTCTACACCTGCTGTCATGTTGGTTTCCTCACTTTTTATGCTACCCCATAGAAGCAGAGTATGGATGTCTGGACCTTAATCAGATCAGAAACCACAGCTTGCGTGGAGAGCCACCAGTAGCAGAAAAGCAGGGATCACACAGCGATGCATGAGACAGCCCAAAACTGCCGAGGGTGTTTCTGCTGAGTGCTTACCTCTGTCTTCCATGAGCCACCCAAGACTTGGACCCCATTCTCCGTAACCAGGAGCTCTGCTGGGAGATCTGTGGGGCAGGGCGGGCCTCACCAGCACCCTATTTCTTGCCAGTAAGTCAGGGTCAGGCTATGATAAAAGAATGTCTGTTTCAAGACATGACTAGGTTTGGCTGATCCAGGCTTCAAGATATGATTGTTTCCCTTTTGTGAGTTGGAGCGGGGACTGCTAGCAGTCACCATTCGACTTGGTATCCACCAAGGCAGAGGCCAAGGCAGGCACGGGGAGAGCCTGGTCTTCCCAATCAACTCGGACAGGTGGAACTTAATCCTTTATTTCTGAAACAAATCTTTACATCCCTGAAGAGACCCTAAGGGCCTCTAATCATGAGGGGGCTTAAAAGGTTTTCCCTCTGAGAACCAGGTCATGAACATCTTGAGGTGGAGAGTTAGGAATGGGAGGAATTTAACCACCCAGAATTGTTGGCCAGCTGCCAGGGGAGCACCCTGGAGCCTCTTTCGGGAAACAGACTTTATGTGTGCTGGAAGAGGGGCTTGGGATATGCCTAAGGAGTGGGCGCAGACCCTCTCTGTCCTCTGGAGCCTTGAGAATATTTGCTTCTAGAGAAAGATGCATGGAGATTGTCCTGGGCACCGTTCTCAGCCCTATGGGACAGCTGAAGGCAGGGCATGTACAAAGCCCCCGGGGGTGTCCTGGAGAATCCTGGCAGAGGCTCCTCACCCTGTTGTTGGATCAGCAGCTCTCCCCACGCCACTGGGTCACCTCCATTATTTAGGCCGCAGTGTTGGTCTGGCTTCTGCGGCTCCCTGTTCCCCTTCCCATTGTAACAGACTCCTATCTGACCAAATCCTTTCAGTCAGAATAGGAAGACAAACGCTGGCCCTCTAAGGAAAGAGCTTCTCTTTCTAAATATTTACGCTGTTGCTGTGAATCATGAAGACTCCCTTTGTGCGTAGCCTCCCAGGCTCAAGTCATTCACCCCCAGCCCCCTGTGCTTGACGTGGCCAGTGGGCTGGGCCATCCTGTCCTCACCCCTTGGGGAGGCAGGGCTGAAGTAGCCCCTCTGTCCCACACTGACACCCAGGGGGCCTGCCTCAGACTTGAGGATGGAGGTCCAGGGAGGCAGTGGCCATTTTCCTTGGCTGACTTGAGATGCCAGGGAGATCTCCCTGCAGAGCTCGGGAGGGGTCCTGGCAGTGGGATTTTCTTCCTTTTTCATATGGTCAAGGGATAGTTGAAGATTGAGGTGAAAGTTCTCTAAGCCTCTTTTTTTTTTTCACTTTAAAAATAACTTTATTCAGGTATAATTACATAGCATAATGTTTACTCATCACAAATGTACAATTCAGTGATTTCAGTAAATTTATAAAGTTGTCCAGTCATCATCGCAAACCAGTTTTAGAACATTTCCATTATCCCAAGATGTTTTCTTACGCCCATTTTTAGTCAATCTCACTCCCGCTTGCAGCCCTAGACTGCCTTACTCTCTGTCTCTATGGCTTTCCCTTTTTCTGGACATTGCATATCAATGGATTCATATAATATGTGGTCTGTTGAATCTGGCTTCTTTCACTTAGCATGTTTCTATGATACATCAACGTTGTACCATGTATCAGTAGTTTATTCATCTTTATTGCCAAATAATATTCTACTGTGAGGATATGAAACATTTTGTTTGTCCTTTCCCCCAACTGAAGGTCATTTGGATTGTTTCCAGTTCTGGATTATTATGAATAATGCTGCTATGACTATTTGCTTACAAGTCTTTGTATATACAGAAAATTTTAATCATTTCAACTACTCTGTGATTTAGAACCATTGTAATTTCTTTTTCTCCAGATAATGAAACTGAGGCTCAAAAAATTATGAAACTTAATACCTGAAACCATAAAATTCCTGGAAGAAAACGTAAGCAGTATGCTCTCTGACACTGGTCTTAGCAATATTTTTTTTGGACCTGTCTCCTCAGGCAAGGAAAACAAAAGGAAAATAAACAAATGGGACTACGTCAAACTAAAAACTTTTGCACAGTGAAGGAAGCCACCAACAAAACGAAAAGGCAACCTACTGAATGGGAGAAGATATTTGCAAATGATATATCCAATAAGGGCTTAATATCCACAATATATAAAGAATTCATACAAGTCAATGGCAAAAAAAATCTGATAACAAATGGACAGATGTAATAAACTATAATGGAAAAGAATATGAAAAAGAATATCTTTATCTATCATCTATCTATCTATCTATCTGAGTCACTTTGCTGTACACCAGAAACCAACACAACATTGCAAACCAACCATACCACAATAAAAAAATAAAAATAAAAAATGGGCAGAGGACTTGAATAGATATTTTCCTAAGGAAGATATAGAGATGGACAACAGGAGCATGAAAATATGCTCAGCATCACTAATCATCAGGGAAATGCAAGTCAAAACTACAATGAGATATCACCCCACACCTGCCAGAATGGCCATCATCAAAAAGACAACAAATTTTAGGCATTGGTGAGGATGTGGAGAAAAGGGAACCCTTGCGCACTATTGGTGGGAATGTAAATTGGTGCAGTCACCCTGGAAAACAGTATGGAGAGTCCTCAAAAAATCAAAAATAGAACTATCATATGATTCAGCAATTTCACTTCTGTGTATTTACCTGAAGAAAACGAAACACTAATTCAAAAAGATACATGTACCCCAATGTTCACTGCAGCATCATTTACAGTAGCCAAGACATGGAAGCAACCCAAGTGTCCACTGACAGATGAATGGACAAAGAAGATGTGGTATATACGTACAATGGAATACTACTTAGCCACAAAAATAATGAAATCTTGCCATTTGCAATAACATGGGAAGACCTAGAAGGTCTAGTGAAATAAGTCAGACAGAGAAAGACAAACACCACATGATTTCACTTAAATGTGAAATGCAAAAAACAAGACATATGAACAAACTAAACAAAACAGAAACAAACTCATAGATACAGAGAATAAACTGGTGGTTGCCTGAGGGGAGGGGGTCGAGTGTGGGCAACATACGTGAAGTGAATCAAGAGGTACAAACTTCCAGTTATAAAATAAATAAGTCATGGGGATGTAACATACAGCATAGGGAATATAGTCAATAGTATTGGAATAACTGTATGGTGGGAGGGGGAGGTATCAGGAACATTATAGCAGAAATGCAAAGCTAATAAGCTAACCAGCTTCTGACATTCAATGTAAGATTTAGGGACAACGTAGTAAGATTAAAAGCCAGGTTTTAGAAGAGGGAGTGTAGGGAGAGGAAAGTGGAGGAGGGTAGTACATTTATTTATTTTTTATTATTTTTAGCATATCAAGAGGAAAACTCGGAAGATTTAGATCTTCATTTCTTCCATAGTTGAAGAAGATACCTCTTCCACCTTGGCAAGGCTCTTTGGCATCCCACCCTGGAAGGATATGGCCAAGTTTGATGAGAAAGGTAGGAACCTGCTCTCTGGCCAGGGCTTGAGTGGGGAGAAGTGCAAGGGCAACAGGGTTGAGCATGTCGGCCCCCGTCTCCCCATGTGGACTTTGGGTTGGAGCGAGCAGGGGTGGTAGGGTTAGTTGAAGAGTGACAAGTTCATGGGCTTTGGACTTGAGGCACACATGGGGCCCTGGGCGGAGCTCGCCTCCAGTCTTCCCTGCTCCAAACTTGTAACAGCTGCATAGAAGGAAACTTGGTAGCCCAGCATGGTTAGCGGAGAGAGGCGAATGTTTGGCTTTTCTAAGTTTCTAAGCCACTTTTGAACCCATTCCAGGCCAGCTCACATTCCTTCAACAAACATTTATTGGGTTCGTGATTGGCGCTGGGCCTGGTCTTTTCTTTCAGTGTCCTCAGAGCTCAGCCTAAGCCTGACACACAGTAGGTGCTGAGAAACAAAGAGCAAGGTCATGGAGCAGCCACAGGAGCAAGTCATCAGATAGAGGAGAGACCCCTAGGCAGAGTTTTACTGCCTGGGGCTCTGACATCATGTCTTAGGAACGTTGTAGCTTTTGGGGTCTGTATAAGACATTTTCTGGAAAACTTTGTGCAAATCAAGTTGTTGTAAATTGGAACTTTGGAGTTGTCCTAGACTCCCAGAAACTGGGTAAGGGCTGAGAGTCCTTATCTGAGTGGCCTTTAGGAGGTGATTTGGCCACAAGGGTGGAGCCCTTGTGAATGGGAGTCCTATCAAAGAGACCCCAGAGAGCTCTCTCGACTCTTCCACCACGTGAGGACGTGGTAAGAAGTTGCAACTGTGGTAGAGGGCGCTCTCTAGAACCAGACTGTGCTGGTACCCCCATCTAGGACTTCCAGCCTCCAGACCAGTGAGAGATAAATATCTGTTGTTTATAAGCCACTCAATCTGTGGTTGTTGGGAGAGTCTTTGAGAGGACATGAATGTCGGTTGACCCACGAGCTGGATCTGGGCCATCAGAGGCCCCTTCCCCTCTTCCGCATCCTTGGAATGTATACAAGAACCACTGTTCTTGTACTAGGAGCCACCTCAAGGGCGCAGCCTTGAGAGAACAATGTGTTGTTGAGACCATCTGGACGATATGAGTGACTGAGCCCAGTTAAAGCCGCTGCATAAACTTTAAGATTCTGGTGAGCAGGTGGGGAGATCTAATCATCTTGCCACCACCCAAGTCTAGCCTTGTGTGTGAGTTTCCTTGCTTATTAAAACTGCCATCTGGGCTTCCCTGGTGGCGCAGTGGTTAAGAATCCGCCTGATTGGGCTTCCCTGGTGGCGCAGTGGTTGAGAGTCTGCCTGCCGATGCAGGGGACACGGGTTCGAGCCCTGGTCTGGGAAAATCCCACATGCCGTGGAGCAACTAAGCCCGTGCGCCACAACTACTGAGCCTGCACTCTAAAGCCTTCGAGCCACAGCTACTGAAGCCTGTGTGCCTCGAGCCCGTGCTCCACAACAAGAGAGTCCACCGCAATGAGAAGACTCCACACAGCCATAAATAAATAAATAAATTAATTAATTAAAAACAAACCACAAAAAAACCGCCACCTATCAATCTGGAGTGGTCTGCCTCTTCAGTTCCTCCTTGCCCCACATGTATGGGGGCCAGTTTGGAATTTCAATTGGGAGACTCTTGAGGTTGGGAACCAGCAGTGGTATTTTGTTAAAGCATCCGAGCTAAGACGAGTTTGCAGTCAAGGTGTCAACAGGCTGCAGTCGTTCGAAGGGTTGACTGGAGCTGGAGGATCTGCTTTCAAGATGGTTTGCTCATGTAGTTGGCAGGTTGGTGCTGGCGTGGCAAGAACCTCAGTTCCTTACCTTGGGCACCTCTTCGTTGGGCTGCTTGAGTGTCCTCAAGACATGGCAGCTGGCTTCCCCCGAAGTGAGAGTTCCAAGAGAGAGCCAGGAAAAACGGCACTGTCTTTTCTGACTTCGTTTAGAAGTCGTACACCATCCTTTCTGCAATGTCCTGTTGGGCAGCCCTGTGCCGTGTCGGGGACACTACACAAGAGCATGCATGAGTGACAGGAGGTGAGGATGATTGGGGGCCATCTTGGAGGCTGGCTACCAACTTCTAATATAGTATATGCCTTGTTATTTAGTATGTGCATTGTTCATTCCTTTCCTTTGAGAGCAGCTCTCTGTCTTTTTTATTTACCAAGTGCCCAGAATAGTACCTGACACATACACAGCACTCAATAGATACTAAATTGTATTAATTTTAATGGAGTGATTTGCCTGGGGCCCGTGGGGGTGGGGCACGGAGAGAGATAGTAGTCAGTGTCTCTGACTTTTTGTGAAACAAAAATCCACTGCCTCTCACTGTCACTAGATATTCCGAGTGTTGGCTATGTTGGCAAACTTTTTTTTTTTTTTAATTAAGAACCACCTGTATTTGAAGGTAGCTGGTGAGAAAGAGTTATAGGAACATGATTCTATTTTTCCATTCCACAGGAAACAAAATAAAAAGAAGCTTCTTAATCTATGCCTCAGTTTCCTCATCTGAAAAATGGAATGCTTCTGGGTGTTTTTAAGGATTAAATGAAGGTCAAGTATATCTCCTACAGTACACCCTCAAAAAATACGTTAATATCATTTGAACGTAGGAGGTGCTTGAATCCTGAAACAGTATGTGAGAGAGGTAGAGGCATCCTCTCTGGCGTCTTTAGGACTGCCTAGAAGAGGCATCAGGTGTGTGTCCAACTGGAAGCATGCTGTGAACGCCCACATCGAGATCACTGCCCAAGTGGATGCCTGCCAGCCATGTAGACCCCACCCAGGAGTCTTCTGGGCAAGGTGAGGAAGTGGTGAGGGCCGTCCACTAACTCAAGAGTATCTTCAGTCAGCTCCTACCAGGTGCTGGCCGTGGGCTTGCAGAGATGGTGAAGTGCAGTCCCTGGCCTCGGGGGACTCCCAGTCTAGAGGGAGAGACAGACAGGAAGGCGGATAATTCCGGGACAGCGTGGTCAGTGTAGAGACAAGTCCTAGAGCCCCAGGGGAAAAGGGGCTCAGAGACGGCCTTTGAGAGGAGGTGATACAACCTGAGCTTTGGGGCTGAGTAGGTGTTGGGAGTGTGAAGGATGGGAGGCAGGGGAAGAGAATGTCCCAGCAGAGGAAACAGCCTGGGCAAAAGCCTGACACGACAGAAAGGGTGACATGGGGGGCCATGTGGAGGTGACAAAGAGAGATGAGGCTGGGGAGGCAGAAAAGATGAACAGTCTGGAATTTTATCCTTTAGGACTTTATTTCATAGTCCTAGAAAAACCTAAAGAATGAAGTTGTCAGACCTTTGTTTAAAAACCCACCAGTGGGGCTTCCCTGGTGGTGCAGTGGTTGAGAGTCCGCCTGCCGATGCAGGGGACACGGGTTCGTGCCCCGGTCCGGGAGGATCCCACATGCCGCGGAGCAACTGGGCCCGTGAGCCATGGCTGCTGAGCCTGCGCGTCCGGAGCCTGTGCTCCGCAACGCGAGAGGCCATAACAGTGAGAGGCCCGCGTACCGCAAAAAAAAAAGACCCACCAGTGGCCTTCTGGAGGACAGACTAGAATGGGCGAGATCTGAGGCAGGGACATGAGAGAGGACACTGGTGCAGGGACCCTGAAGCCAAGGGTAGGATCACGGGTTGCAGGATTCCACTGGGCATGACCCAGGGACCCTCCCTGTGTGGTCTGGAAGGAGAGCCTTCCCAGCGGTCTGCTCCAGTTACTGCCAATGCAGAAGGCGTGGGGAGACCACAATTCTACATGGTAGCAGAAAACAAGTACCTGCTTTACTTTTGTACCTGCTTTCTTCTCCTGGAAGGGATGGGACTCATTGCAAAAGAGCTCCACTGCCCCTCTCTCCCCTTCTCTCCCATTCAAGATATAATGACCTCTATGCGCTCCTAGCACTTACTCTTATGCCTGGCTCAGTGGACACTGGGATAAGGACAGTGCTTGCATGATTCAGTTCTCCTGGAGACCAGCGCCTACCCACCCATCTTTGCTTCCTCAGCAACCTGTAGTACAGGGTCTAGCCCTTTCAGCAGGGGCCCAGTAAGAAGATGATCCTGGCAAATGAATGCAAGCCCTGTTTAAAACCCTTTCTGCAGAGTCCTTATTTGTATGTGCTCGCACACATACAAACACACACACGTGTGTACTCACGTATGTATGCTCCCCACCACCCGAGTCACCTTCTAGAATGGGATTTATCAGATCAGCCTCCACCCCATTCCCTCCCCACCCCGAGTTCACAGCCAGGGAAGCGAAAGATGAGCCGAGTGGTTTTTCTCTAGAGCCAAAGCTCAGTTAGACGGAGGCCCATCTGGCATGCCCAGCCTGGGGACTTTGGGGCAGATCTCTGGGGACCGCCTGCAAGTGTCTTGAACTGGCTCTCTCACTTCGAGAGTGGTAGGGAATCCTCCAACCGATTGTGCAGGGCAGCGATCCTTGTGGTCTCCTGCACCTCGTCCCCCTCCCCGCTTCATGGCCCTTGCCTAGCTCTGGGCTCTCTCGTCCTGATATCCCACCCCGTTCGTAAGGTGGGTGGGGGGAGGAGAAGTGTCAGGTTTTTGTGGTGAGGAAAATCTGGCAGTCCTGAATTTCTTCCTGAATCGACCACCTGCTGAATGTTTTCCAGGATTATGAAAGTTTTTGAGGGAGTGGGGGAAGTGGGAGGGTGAAAAATGGCGGTTCCTTCTTTTTCTTTAAATTAATTAATTATTTTTTGCCTGCGTTGGGTCTTCATTGTTGCACGCGGGCTTTCTCCAGTTCTGTCAAGCGAGGGCTGCTCTTCGTTGTAGTGCATGGGCTTCTCATTGTGGTGGCTTCTCTTGTTGTGGAGCATGGGCTCTAGGCATGCGGGCTTCGGTAGTTGTGGCACGTGGACTCAGTAGTTGTGGCTCGCGGGCTCTAGAGTGCAGGCTCAGTAGTTGTGGCGCATGGGCTTATTTGCTCCACAGCATGTGGGATCTTCCTGGACCAGGGATCGAACCCATGTCCCCTGC